ATGTTAATTAACACCATGTCCCTGCAGAGATGTTCCAAGCCTGCCTTGCTCACAAAGGGAAACTGGAGCTTCAACCCATATATTCATGTTGTCAGCAAAACAAAGGCATTTGTGACATGCCTAAAGTTTATTGTGTGTTCTCAACATATTAAGAGTTGCCAAATAAATGTTTTGTTGGAAGCCATCCAAAACATAAATAGAATTTTCATTCTCCTTTGGAGTCTGTAACCCCAATTACCCTCTGGAGCTCCTTTGAAAGGCTGTGCAACTGAACACATAATTATGAAACACTTTTGAATTATGAAACAATGTCAAATTAACTTCAGTTGAATGGCTAGTTTCTCTTTAGAAAAAGGAAAATTTGGTTATTAGAAAGCTGGAAGAGGTTAACTGATTAATGGTATGTCACGTGGGGCTTGGGGTTTCTCAGCCCTTAAGGAGCTGCTCACTTGACTCTCAGGTCTGTCTTTAGATAATGTTGTGTCAGTGTCTTCACTATTTTCCTTATGCATGTCAGACAAATCTAGGGAAAAAACCCACAGATTAGGACACTGATAAATTAAATTTCCATCTTTTTTTGAGGTTCAGTTCCTGTTGCTGGTGAAGATGATGCAGAGGAAGGTCTGTCAGAGGGTCAGGGTTGGATATATTGAATATATCCTGCCTTGTCCCAAGGCTTCTGTCACTGAGGAGAAGCTTTAAAACAGGAAAGAAATTCCAGAGTCATCCTCTGTGCAAATAGTGTCCAGTTAGGACATGATGACATTGTTTGGCCTAACTCAGCCCCACACTTGGCTGTTTGCTGCCCCTTAACTTCCTTTTTTCCGGTGTCTGGGCGGATTTGCTGGGTGAGATGAATGGATGTGCCTCCTCCCTTCCCAGGGCAGCCCCAGACAGCCTTCCTGGCACAGACACCTCACTGAATGCAAACTGGGCTCTGCAGAATTGCAGCTTTACCAGCCTCTGCTTGTTCTTTGTTCCCAACCTTCTTTTCAGGCCTTCTCAAAAGTCATCTTGTTTCCGAGAGGCTCAAAGGGAGGACTCCTCAAAGAGCCTTCTATCTGCAGAAGGAATCTTGGCTAAGGAGGGAGCAAAGGAACTGGGAAGATCTCTCACTAGATCACAGTTCACATAATAACATTTCCACTTACTTTCAGCCAGTCTTAATTTCAGTGCACATGTATCATCATTTCATTTTTACAGAGAGGGAGTTTTGCTGCTTTGCCCATGAGGATGTTACCTCCAATTTGGGTCAGAAATTAGTCTTTTGACAGATAGCTCAAATAAACAGGTATTGCCATGAAGTGCAGCCATAATGAGTTAAATGGGAACCTCCTGGATGGTGAATGTTCATCCCAGCACCAGTAGGTATGAAGAGATCTGCAAAATGATGCTCTCTCTACTGGACTAAGTGCTGTCTGTGTAAAGCAGAGGATGGTCAGTGTCAGCAGGGGCTGTAAGGAGGTTGTAATATACCACAAACTCCAAGATTTTCCTTTTCCTGACCCTTATGTTAGCATATTAGGTGATTTGAGAGGGGCTGGTTCCTGCTCCAAAACTCCTTAGCTTCGTGAGATGTCTTCAAATGCTCTAGGCCTCTACACAAGCTTAGAGGGTCCTTAAATAACACTAGTTGGAAAAAAGAAGTTGCTGTGCACATGTTTAACTATGCAGATAAGCCAGTCTGTCACAGGAACTGCTGCTCTTCTGCTAAAGGCTGGTGAAAAGCTCCTTGGAGGAGAATGTCCACATGCCTCATTTCTGGGCTCTCTGCCTGAGGGCTAATGTCTGAGCTGTGTGGGGCACATCCTCCTGCTTGGTTTGCTCACTGGCAGCAGAGCCAGCCAAGCTGAGAAACCAGAGAGTGGCCACATATTGAGAAGGGATTTGAGAAGTTAGGATCAAGGGGGAATGGCTTCCCACTGCCAGAGGGCAGGGAGAGATGGGATATTGGGAAGGAATTGCTCCCTGTGAGGTGCTGAGGCTCTGGCACAGGTTGCCCAGAGCAGCTGTGGCTGCTCCATCCCTGGGAGTGTTCCAGGCCAGGCTGGATGAAGCCTTGGGCAACCTGGGCTAGTGGAAAGTGTCCTTGCCCAGGACAGGGGTTGGAACGAGATGATCTTTAAGCTCCTTCCAACCCAAACCAATCTATGATCCAACATGATGATAAGCCCCTCACCATTCCTGTGCTCTTCTAAGTTCTTGGTTAGTAAGTGTCTATTTTTCCTTTTGCCTGTTGTATATTAAACAAAGTGGTAATGATGAACAACTTTCACACATGCAAATCTTTTAAATACCAAGATGAGATCTGCACGATATTATGGCATTTATTTCCAAATGCCTAGTTAAACATATGACCTTTGCTTTTAAGAAGTAATTATCCAAAGCTCATTTCATGTGGGCTCCCTTCTCTTTCCCCCCTTGTGGATGATTTGTATGGACTTTCATGTTTCCATTAGAAAATTGCTGGAGGGATATTGCTACCAGTGATTTATATGTCTGGTGCACACTGGTATTTTCAGTCCTTCTTCTAAAATAGCTGGAGAAGTTCAAGCTGAAGCTTATAAATCACTGTGTGGTAAATGAAGTAGGATTTTAAATAAGAGACTATGGAAAAATGAGCTGAGCCTTCTTTTTCATAATCATAATCATTAAACTTGGCTGTGGCAGAACAGTCTTGTATGCATGAGGAAAAAGAGCTCCAGTATGTGGACTGGTGGTTAGAGAGTGTGTTGTCCAAGTGGGGGATAAGGCATTTCCCTGCTCTGAAATCTAAAGCATCTTGCTCTAAGTCCAGGCATGAGTAGAAGATTGACTGGTGCCACTCAGCTGTCAGGGCTGTATTAGTCCTTCAGGTCCTCACTGGTCAGCATGAAACTGCAGCAGCCTCATTGATTTGGGACTGAGCTCTGCCTTGGAGGAAAGAGGAGGCTGCAGGTTGCTTTCTGTCGCTGCTCTCTACACAAGATTTAAGTCCTTTTGTGCTCTGATTTCATGGTGCTTGAGCCTTGAGCAAGTTATCTTGAATACCATGAGGAGTTCTGTGAGCTGCCCCTTGCCTGGTGTGGCTAGAAGAGCTTCTGGGGGTTCTCAAGGCAAGTGGAAACCAATTCCTGTTCCATTTTCTGTCTATGTGTAGAGTCATCACAGAAGGGCAATCCCAGAGAGAGTTTGGTTGGTTTGGATTCAGGATCAGTGTGAGTTTCAGGCAGATCAGGAAACAAAATAGGTAGAAAATAAATTGAAAAGGTTTGGGTTTGGTTTTGGTTGTGCCAGAAAATACATAGGACACTAATTTCTCAGTCATCCAACAATTAGACATGATACTCCTACTCATAAAATAACAAGATCTGATCAATCAGTTCAGTGTTTGTGGTGGTACATGTCAAATTCTATGCTTGGAAATGGAAATTGTGGCTGTGTGGAATAAACTGTTGACTTCGTATATCATTTTGGATTGGCATTTGGATATTTCTTTTGAAATGTGGAATAAACCTGAGAGTACTCTGAACTTATTTTACTGCTGCTGGAGCTCTGGTATTAGCAGTGTCATGACTGGAAGTCACAACTGGACTTTTTTTTCTATTAAAAAGAAGTATCAAATCAAAATAACCTGAAGTCATTGTTATCCCGTGTGGAATAAGGTTTCCTAGTGATGAAGCAACATTCAGTCCTGCTGCAATTGTGACCTCTAGTGGGAAATGTGTGTTTGGTATCACAGTGATTATGCAGCAAATTGCTAATTTGGAATGTTGCAATATTCATTATGGCTAATATCATAGCATTTCCAGGACTCATTAATGGTAAAATCCCTTCAAGGCAGAATCCCTTCAGTGTAAAAAAAAAACAAACCCAGTTTATTCCCAGGAAAGCTACTGTAAAGTCTCAGCAAGTTTTAATCAAAGCTAATTTTTATAGGAAAACAGTCTCAGGCTCTCAGGCCTGGGAGAAGTTTCCCTTGTAAAAAATCCTGTTGTTGCCCAAGCACAATGTGTTTTGCAGTGCCATTGTCACCAGTGTGGAGACAATATCTAGATACCAGCTCTGAAAGGCATTACCAAAAAAAAGATTTATCCAACTGGCACAAAGATTTGGAAACTATGATCCAGGAAAACAGTCTGAACACGAAGCACATGAGCAAGTGAGAGCTGTGTGTGGTATTTTATCTGGATGAAGACAAAGCTATTTATAATCTTAAATAATCAAGATATTAGGCTGCAGGCTGTCTTTAATCATAGAATCAGAGAATCAACCAGGTTGGAAGAGACCTGCAGGATCATCCAGTCCAACCCTCCCGTGGTCACTAGCCCATGGCACTAAGTGCCACATCCAGTCTCAGCTTGAAAACCTCCAGGGATGGTGAATCCACCACCTCCCTGGGCAGCACATTCCAATGCCTGAGCACTCTCTCCCTAGAAAATCTCTTCCTAATATCCAACCTAAACCTCATTTATTTCTCATTTCTGTGCATTTGTATTTCCAGCTTTTGCAAACCAGCAAGCAGCTGTTTGCTACAGGCAGCAGCGTGTTCAGCTTTGAAGTAGCTTTGACTTTTGGCTAATAGCAGTGGAAAAGGAGCATTGTAGGGTCATCTTTGCTTTATTTGTTTGGGTTTTTTAACAGGTTGAGAATGAAAGATTATACATGATAAATCACAGCTGAGCTCAGTTACTTGACCAAACCCCTATCACCTAGAATATTTATCACATTGCCTTGCTGCCCTGCTCATGACAGCACTGGCACAGAGGGGAGAGCCTGTCACATCCACAGCACCTGACTGATTGAAGTTCCCAGAGCCCCACAGAGCCCTCATCTTCCCCAGCTGGGACTGGGGAACTGTGCCTCGGGGCTTCATGGGGAGCTTTGAAGTGCAGCAGGGAAAAGGGAAACATTCCCCAGGGACTGACAGCATCCCATTGTGATGCTACATAATAATAAGTGTTAGGGAAGGGAGATTTGTATGCTGGGACTGATTGAAATCTCTGTCTTCTTACTTTCAGGGTATGAACATAATCTTCCACGTAGCTTTGGCTCTCTTAAAGGTAAGTGATTTTTGTTTAACTTGTTTTATTAAACTGTCTGGAATATTTTTTTTGTTTAGCTTAATGTATCATGTCTAAAGGAACAATCGTAGTGGAACGTCTGGAGTAGGGAATGGAGGAGAAATACCATCCATTTGGGTGGAGATGTCTTCAAAATTGTACTGACAATAGATCTGTTTTCATTCAACTTTAATCATGTCCTGAAGTTTGTGGAACAGGGAGTGCAGTCTGAGGATTTAAATGTCTGGTGTCACTACTATTAGGAAAACAATCCTGATTCATTTCACAGCACATGTATTTGTGAGTGGGTTCTTTCACATAAAACAGGTGATGGAATATTGTTTGGTATCAGATATATCTGTGATGGCAAGAGAGGAATGGACATCTTTTATAATACAGGGAACTTCTGTCTTTGGCTTGGGCTCAGAATTTACCTAAACAAACAGGAAAACCTGGAGGTAAAGCACTGGCCCTTCTGGTGCCATGGAGAGAGCTCAGAGTTAGCTTACACTGACTCTCCATGAGTTGGCTCTGGTTCAAATCCAGCACGATCAGGGATGTGCTGCAGGATTTGCAGTGCCACCTTTGAGTTCAGGTGATATTCCCATGCAATAACACGCTGAGCTCAGGGTGGAACAGCCTATCACTCCCAACACAACCACAGGACACAGACTACTACTTCTGGGCTGTGACTTGTCCTCCAGTGGCCTTTCCATGCCCCTTACCTGGGAAGGGCAAACAGCTACTGCTTGAGTGACTCAGCAAAGAGTAACTCTTAGAGATTCAGCTCCTGCAGCACAGAGCCCTACAGCAGGAGTGCTCTACAGCAG